ATACAATGTGCCTGACTCTTTGTTACTGGAATTATTCATGCACCAGATGCCGCCAAATGTCCAGTCTATTCTAGCATAGGTTGAGCCACTCGATTCATAGAAAGCTGCCAGTATCGTGGATAGAATATTGGAAGTTACACCCGCTCAGGTAAGCGAAGTTTCGTCTCGTGTATCTCTCAATGTCTCCGAGAATTCTAAATTGGATTCCTTGCTGGAGGAAGTGTGCAAATTGCAAAGCAAGGTTTTGTCTCTACGATGATCACGCAGTGTGTCCAAAAATCGCTATAACAGGAAGCGAAGCCCTTCAGCTAAAGCTGCTTTGAACTGTTCTTATTGTTGGTATCATCATAAATTTGGTGACAAAGCTAAAAAGTGTGTTCTACCATGTACATTCCAGGGAAACGTACTAAGGAAAGTGTAGTGGCGACATGCGCTTTACCCTCCGAGTCTCGTCGCCTTTTCATTAGAGACAGGAAATCGAATAGAATATTTTTGTGCGACACTGGCTCAGACGTCAGTCTTCTTTCAGCAACCAGACAGGAAGCACGTCAAACACCTATTATGACGTTTTCCGCAGCAAATGGAACCCCTATTCCAGTTTATGGACAAAAAGCGTTAGAGTATTGAGCTTGGACTTTGTCGTAATTTTAATTTTATGTTTTATGTGTGTAAAGTGTCAACAAATATTATTGGATCTGATTTCTTGCATTATTTTGAATTATTACCTGATATAAGGTACGAAAAACTTGTTGATTTAAAAACACATGTAAAAATTAATTGCAGTGTAATTAACACACATTTACATTCTGTTAAAACAATTATTACAAATTGTATTTATGATAAATTACTGTCTAACTATCCTTCACTGTCAAAGCTTCCTGATCTCAATGAGACTGTTAAGCACAATAATATGCATTTCATTGAAACCATTGGTCCTCCTGTTTCATGTAAGCCAAGGAGATTAGCTCCAGATAAATTAAAAATTGATAAGCATGAAATTCAGAAAATGATCAATTTAGGTCACATGCGACCCTCCAAACTTAATTACTCCTCTCCTCTTCACATGGTGTCAAAAAAAGGCACAAACGAATTGAGACATGTGGGAGATTTTCGGAAGTTAAACGCTCAGACATTGAGGGATAAGTATCCTATTCCCAAAATTTACGATTTTGCAGCGGAGTTACATGGAACAAAGGTATTTTCTCGATTAGATTTGGTTAAAGCGTATCACCAAATTCCAATTAATCCCTCTGATATTCATAACATGGCTATTGCCATTCCTTTTGTTGGACTTTTTGAGAGCACAAGAATGCAATTTGGGTTATGCAATGCAGCTGCAACCTTTCAATGCTATTGATGAAGTAAATCGCGAGCTGCCAGGAGTATTTGCTTTTGTCGACGATATATTGATAGCGTGAAAAGATGAAAATGAGCATTTGATACACTTAAGAGCCCTTTCTGGAAGATTAAGTAATTATGGGTTAAGACTTAATGTATCTAAATGCAGTTTTGGTTTAACTTTGGAATTTTGGGGTTTTCATGTATCTGAACAGGGTTTAAAACCTTTACCCGAGAGGGTAGAATCTATTCAAAAATTTCCTAAACCAAACACTCAGTTAAGGAAATTTCTTGGCATAATTAATTTTTACAGACATGTTTTGTTCCCAAGAGCTTTCACATGTTTTAGCTTCCTTTGAATAGGTGACTGGAAAGGCCGCATTAATAAAAGGAAACCTTCACAACCAAGCAAAACAAAAGAATATCTTCTCGAATGGGACGACGAAGCCAGAGAAAGCATTCCAGAAATGCAAAAAAGGCAATTGCTGAGGCAACCCTTTCTCAAACACCCAATTCCTGGTGCGACTTTGACAATTTTGTACTGATGCATTGGAGGTTGCGGTTGGTAGCTCATTAATGCAACTGCATAATTCAGTTTGGGAACCCATTGCATTTCTATCCGTTAAACTCAGCAAAAGTCAAAGGAAATGGTCAACTTATGATCGAGAACTATTGGCAATTTATTTGTCTATTAGGAAGTTTCAGCACATGCTTGAAGGCAGGGTCTTTACAATCTACACTGACCAAAAGCCCTAAATATATGCTTTTAAGTAGAAGCCCGAAAAGTGTTTCCACGATGGCCAATTTTCCACTGGCATACGATACATCAAAGGTCGTGACAATATCGTTGCTGATGCCTTATCTAAGGTAGAAATAGATGCAGTATCTGATAATCAATATATTGATTATAAAAAGTTATCTGAAGCACAAATTCTGAACTCTGAAATTCAAAATTACTTATCTCAATCTTCACCAGTTTTTAAACTTGAGAAACATTACTTTCCTTTAGAAGATGTTACACTTTACTGTAATATGGACACAGGTATACCTCGTTCCATTCATACCTGAATCTTTTCGCTCTACAATTATTTCAGCAACATTCACTGTCTTTCTCATGCCGGTATTTCAATTCAACAAAACTAATTACTAAGGCGCTCTTTTTGGCCTAATACGAAGAAATTATTAAAACTGCAGTTCAATCATGTCTACAGTGACAACGTTCTAAAATTCATAGACATTTACCAATCACCGACAGGTACCTTTTCCTTGTCTGATGCAAGATTTGCACATATCCAATATTGATTTCATAGGTCCTCTTCCACCGTCTGAAGGTAACCGTTATTGCATGACAATTATTGACAGGTTTAGCCAGATGGCCAGAAGTCATACCTACTGTCGACATGTCAGCTCAGACGACTTGCAAAAGTGTTAGTGCATAACTGGATAGCAAAATTTGGCTGCCCGGTATCAATAACAACTGATCAAGGTCCGAAATTTTGAATTCTCACGGTATTTAAGGATTTAAGGAAAATTTTGGGATACACATCGCATTAGAACTACTGCTTATCATCCTCAGTACCAATGGACTGATTGAGAGATTTCATAGGCAACTTAAAAGTTCAATAAATGGCTCATAACAACCCAAAATGGACTGAAATTCTGCCTAGTGTTCTGTTGGGTATTAGATCTGCCATTGAGAAAGATATAAATGCTACTTGTGCTGAACTTGTCTACGGTACTAACACTTAGATTACCGTCAGATATGCTGAATGCTTACAAATATTGTATCGCCTACTGAATCTTATGTGTCACAAGTTCGATCAGTCATGCATTTAGTCAGACCTATTCCAACCTCTAGGCATATTCAAACACCAATTTATGTACATCCAGCACCTTCAAACCTGTTCTCATGTATTTCTGCGTATCGATTCTGTTAAACCACCTCTAACTCCACCTGACACTGGTCCTTATACCGTTGATTAAACGAATGGATAAAAATTTTATTATTGTGGTAAATAACAAAAAGATTACAGTTACAATCAATCGTTTGAAACCAGCATATATGTTGTTAGAATGTATAAATTCACCTGTAATTCCTCAGTTTCCACAGGAAGTTTGTGAAGACTCAAAAATTGTTCCAAAACAAGTAGTTACACGAAGTGGGCGTAGTGTTCATTTTCCTAAAAACTAATTACTGTAATATGATTAAAGTTTTCTCTTGTGGTTTGCTGCAAATATTACAGTGTATAGATATTTGATTAATTTTTTTTCATACGTATTGAGAGTTATATAAAATGCTTATTAACTTTTCATTATTTTTGTTTAACTAAGTTATGCATTGTATGAGTATATACTCCAATCAGAATTGTAAATGTATTATTACTATTCATATATTTGTATTTCTTTTTTGTACGTACAATTTTAAAGTATAACTGTTATTTCAATGTGCATATCTTAAATTGGAAATTTACAGCCAACCCCTTTTGTGTCATGACTGTGTCACTAAGGGGGATACTCTGTGGCAATCTAATGTTCGACTGCATGCGCAGCCAATCCACGTCATGTGGTTTATGTAAAAACTGCTAGCGCGGCAGTGAACTAGCTCACTTCGCCCTTAGCTGGAACATAAGATGTTTGAATTTTAGTTTAGTAGATTTTGTTATTTCGTTCTGTTATTTCAGTTGCGTTTAAAGTTATGGTGTATGTGAATAAAGGTTATGTTTAAGGAAAAGGAGTTATGTCAATTCAAGGATATACACCAAGCACATAACCATCACGCCACTATAATGCCATTAGAATTATGGTTCTGGACTGAACTGGTATACAGTACAAAGTCTCCATTCCGAACGTCCATTATTCGGAATGATCTATAATCCGGACCTCAAAGCCTCAAACTTACACATGCGCGTATAGCTGGTAAAGCATTTACCCATGCGTGCTTCCAACAATGAAGAAAGTAACAGAGAACGTTACTAAAAACGAAAAAATTTCGATTGACAAATTAGTCGGTATTCTTAACACAGCAATTACAGGACTTGAACAGTGGAACTTTGTAATTGAACAAGAAATTATGTCTGTTTATAGAATTAAAGAGAAAGTATTAGCACAAAAAACGAAGCAACTTAAACAACTTACATTGATAGAAATGTTACTAAGGTAAACGCCGCGGCACGCAATAAATATGGAAGCTTTTTTTTTGTAAGCATTTTGATACCTTATTTTCAGATCAGATAATTGCTCTTTATTTCATAAATTACGGTTTCATATTTTTAATTATATAATTTCTGCATGCCATCTTACCAGATTTAAATTGATGATCTATAATCCAGAATCGCCGAAGTCCTGATGAGTCCGGATTATGGACTTTGTACTGTATAACACATTTTCCCCACTTTTACAGAACTGAATAAATTTTGCAAATGCATGTGTATATATATAATAAAGTTAGGAAAAGTTACAAAACTTTGGCAGTCTGAACCCAAAAATTATATAGCACTCAAAAGAAAACTTGAAACCGTCAAAATAACATAGCGTCAATATTCATCTTTGTAGGATTAATAATATAATCCTAACTATTTTATTTTAAAATAAGGAAACAAGTCAAAGAATAATTAAAAAAAAAAAAACTTAAGATAATAAAATATCAAAAAATAACAGTATACCTTTCAACATTAATTCCATTTTTTTTAGCTGCACCTTTCTTTTTTAACATTAATCTCTGCACACTTCTTGCATAAGCGTCTCTAGCTTTCTGCCTGGCATACATTTCTGGCCTTTCCTCTTTAATTCGCTGCCGATACAAACGTTTCTTTTGTGCTTCAATTACATCTTTGTACATCTTGGCAGGTTTTGGCATAAGTCTGCGACTTTTACTTTTTCTCTCATTATAAAGCTGCTCATTCCTATCTTGGGTAGCAGGAAGAGCATTTATTAGCTGATTCCAAAGTTCTGGATACCTAAATGGAAAAAATCATGTTATAAGTACATGAAATGCCAAATGATAAAGATAAACCAAATGTTTTTGCATGCATAAGATATGACTAAACATATTCCCGTACAATAAATGTACAGTTGCAATAAATTTTGCTTTTATAGCTCACTTTACAATTCTAAATCAAAACATTAGCTTTCTAGAATGAAACATTTTATCTTAATGTGTTGCAGATGGAACATGAACAGAAGGAAATGATTCAAGCAGAAAGTATGAATAAAACTATATTTTTAAACTGCAGAAAAATCTTAGTAAGTTATCACCTAAAGAGCTTGTTAATCCAGATAAATCCCACCTTTTTCAGTAACTGTTAAACGACCATATAATTAAACTTTCATTCATTTATCAATGACCTGAATTTTACTCTGTTACTTATCTACACTGTACAAAATTTCCAGTTTAATCTTCTGTTAAAAAGTTAAATCAAAAGACATCATACAGTTGAAATTATATTCTAGATTCTGCAAAAATGAAATCTCCCCCTTATTATTAATTCTCAGGTCAATAGACTTCATGTCCCAAATGACCGTCTTTTCCTTCCAGGTCTCGTGTGATGGAACTGATTGTCTAGAAGCCCCCAAATTTTCAACACTACAAAGACTAATTTTTTTTGTCATCTTCAGATCACATACCGTGGAATGCCAGACTACAAAGGCCTCACATTACAAACAATTTAGTTCACAACCAAATTACCTGAACAGAAAAGAAAAAAAAAAAAAAAAAAAAAAAAAAAAAATATTGGATGGTGTTTTGAGTTAAGAACATTCAATTTGGAATAAATGATTTTCAAATATGTTTTCAGGTAACCAATAGCAGCAGCAAAAATCATGGAAACCTTTTGGAAAGTGTGTCTTTGACATTTGATAGCTTATAACTCCAGTCTATTTTTGCGTAATACTGTAAAGGTAATTGGAAAGATATTTAAATCAAGAATATAACACATTATTCAATTATTTGTATTCTATCAAGTAATCAAAACCAGGAAAAAAAGGACAACCTGCTTAGATTCATGTAAAATAGATTTCCTTCATTTCATTAGATTAACATCAAAAAATAAAATTAAAAAAAGGAAATTTTGAACGTAGTTGGTGACTGTACCTTTCTTTCAGAGCTTCTAAATATAATTTATGATTCATAACGTCAGGAGAATCAGGCATATCAGCACATTCCATAGCTCTTTGCATCTCAAATAATATGTGACGCCTTTTCTCTCTTTGTTCCCTTTTGCGAGCTGCTTCCCTTTTTTTAATATTTGACCACATAGCAGGATTTTCTTCTTTGATTCGCATTCTATAGAGACGTTTCTTTTCAGCTTGAGTAAGTAGGATCATATTCTTATTCCGCATAACATTTTTATGTAACTGCAAAATGAAAACATATTTAACACAAATTCAGAATTTCCTTGAGGCAATGGAAACAAAATAGGACTATCTTACGGTATTTTAAGAGACTGCACATTGTCAGTGATATAATTTTTAATCACAATTTCGATTTATAATTAAAATATAACAAATGTAAAATTTATTTCTTTTTCAGACTAACCTGACTAGATTCAGCAAATGGCTGTTCCCATGAACTATCAGAAATTTCAATTTCTGAAGAATAGTCATAAATTTCAGGTAATGACTGTCCAAAATTGCACTGTTGGGAAAGATTTTCAGGTGGTTCTTCCTTAACATAATAATCTTCAACAGATTCTTTAGACATATTTTTTACATGTGCATACATGAGATTGTTATCGGAATGTTGCAATGGTTCTTCCCAAGTCACAATAATTTCCTGCACATCTTCAGAATTAGGCAAGATAGATTTCATAGTAGACCACTGCTCTTGTTCACCTAAAAAGAAAGTATACTTAGATATTACAGAATATTGTTTCAGGTATACAAGGAAATAACTCTTTAATGTAAATTATTCTCGTACAACCCTTTCAATAACAGTATATAAAATAATGTTTTCAAACATCATATTTTTCACCTTACATTCATACTTTTTACCTTGTGAAAAGAAAACATAGGTTTATAGGCAGAGATATCACATTTCTTGAAGATGCATAATTCTTGAAGATAGCAAAATAACTAGAAAAATATGAATTATCAATAGCACTTTTGACATAATGTATTGCACTATTCGATCCAAACTTACTGACATGACCACTGAAAACAAAACCTCAATTCTGGATTCATATATACACGAAGAATTAAAGATAAACTGCCACTAGAAATATGCAAAAAATGAAAATGTTTTTCTCCTTTTTAAAATGCTTTTAAACTATGCTCTAATACATTTAAAAGGTATTTTAGAAAGAAAATAAGATGCTCATTTATATTGAATTATATACTTAAAAGGGAAATAGGCACCAGAATTTACTAGTCAGTGACAGTTTTGCTTAAGCTCACAAACATCAAACATTTGAAATTCAGACATGATTCTGTTTTTAACTTTTATTCCAATTTTAAAATATCAATGGTAATTAAATGTAAATTTGTAGAAACATTAAATACAAAGGCTGTTCACATAATTTCAAATCAATTTTTTTTAAACTACAATTCAGACAATTTAAATTTAAAAAAAAAAGTATATTTCTGAAATATTCACTGATAGTTCTTCCTCTAATCTATTGCTCTATATTTCGGCTTCTTCAATATTTAAAAAAAAAAAAAAAACTTCTAAGAGTTAGCAGTAATATTTTCATTCATCCCTCTTGAATTACATTTTCCCCTTATCCCTATTTAATGCAGTACAAGGTCTGAAATTACAGCATCCAATGTCCAAAATAAACTAAAATCCCAGCAATCCATTTTAAATTTTTTTTTGGGGGGGGGGGCAAGCTTTACGCTTGCACAATTGATATTTTTTCATAATAATGCTTGTGAAGGGTTTCATTTCTTAATTTCACTTCAGCACTAGATAAAATACCTCCATACTAAAGAATATAAATTCAAAATAAAATAAATAAAAAGCCTAGACAGTATATGGCAAGTTTTCTTAGTATAAATTATTATGAATCCAAAAAAAAAAAAAAAAAAAAAAAATAAAAATTATGAATCCAAAAAAAAAAATATATATATATAAAAGCTTTAATTTATTTCCATAAATCTATATATTCAATAATTTGGTTCTGTAGCTGCCATTTTGCTTGGAATACACCGGTAACAAATATTCTACATTAAAAGATTAATTTTGCACCTACTGAATAATTTATATCCCTGAAACTTGGCAATTCATTGTCTATTACTTCTTGCTTTCATCACAGAATGACTGAACACATGGCAGCTTAAGAAATGACACACACAGTGATGTCTAGACATTTTCTTTTAAATATTACTATCTGAATACCAAACACTATGGTAACTTTTTATGTTGGCATTAAGCTTGGGAAGATTAGATATTTTAGCTAATTCTGCTGTGTTCTGCTGTCTTGAGTGTGTTAATGAAAAGAAATTTAACAGAAATTTCTTTCCATATGCAAAAAAATAGGTTTTGTAACATAGGCCAAAATATTACAATTAAGGCTGGACCTCAATAAATGAGGCACTGGCATCTATTTCATACATGTAGATGCAGATGTGAATCCCATAAAATTTCTGTTGGAAAAATTGTCTCAAATTATACCTGCGAAATGATAGCTATTAAGGGTGCTTTGGATATTTTTCACGCCAAAGCAGTCCAGAATTTCAGTGGCATCATTGTTTTCTCTTATTCTACATCTGCATTCCAGGTGATTTAGACAGCCAACTCTTCACTTGCCCAGGACATAGCTGTGCTCATAACCACAATAACAGCTATCTCGAAAGTGTGTACCCTACAGTGGATTCCAGCACACGTCGATATTTCTGGCAACGAGCAAGCCAACTACCTTGCCAAAGAAGCCTGAAATGATACTCAACTTTCCAACAGTTTAAACCTTGCCAATGCATATGTAATAGACAACTGAAGATTCATCTCCCAACAAGTTAAATTACTATTCCCGAGCTAAACTGCAACCTAATTATTTCATCTACTATAGCTTTAAACACTTTACAAGAATGAAACATTTTAAAAGAATGAAAATATCCCCTGAAAGGTCAGCGGAGTTTTAATTGCTGCCCTCACTCTCCTGGTACACAACTTTCTCCAGCACACACCTTCGATTGTCCTGCCATACTGGCCAGGCTCTTCAGAATTGATTTTTACACCCTCCCCCCTCTACAAACACACTCTCTTTGCTGGTCTGATCATTAGCCAAGTGCAAAATCAGGTGGAGTGCTATAAAAAGCACCATTCTGAGGCATTGTGATAAAGAGAATTTTGCTTTTTATTTAGCGGAGGAAGTGTGGAGGAAAAATTCGCAGAAAAAAATCGTTCAATAACTTATTGAATAAATAATAAAAGTGTATCCACCAAGTAAGAAAGATTCTGAAGAAGATTAGGTAAGTTAGTATTTTTAATTATTTGAGGATATTGTTTTTAATAATTGTTCAAAATGTAAGGTGGAAGTAAAGTAATTTGGCATTATTGGAAAATTATTATTAGCAATAATTTAGTTTAAAGTAATTAGGATTGTAAGCTAATTTTTATTAATTTAATGTATGTGCTTATTTATATTTTAAGTAGTGTTTTTGAATTTAATATTTTAATTAAATGAGTTATTTTGTGAATTATATGTTTGTAGAATTTGGTATACGTTAGAGTAGAAGTAAATGTGCATGGAAATAATTTAAATATTTGACACTAAGTATTTGTAACCATTTGTAATGTTTGCGGTATGAATTAGTTGCTGACGTTTGTAATATAATAGATTTTATTTATTTTATACGTGGAAATGTTCATATTTGGAAAGGGTATATACTTTTTCGCGATCAGGTAATTTCATATATGTTCTTTTTACCGGGTTTAAAGATTCAGAAAATTGTCATGCATTTTCGTGAAATTTTTCTAATTTATGAGAAAAAAAGCAGTGTACATGGATATAGTGAAGAGTGTGCGCAATGCCATTTTTTGTGCAATTCTGGGATTTTTTTTAAGTAAAAATAAGTTGACGTGTACATGGTTTAGTGATATTTTAATTAAATGATAGTTATTTTGTGAATTTTATGTTTGTAGGAATTTGGTATACGTTTAAGTTGAAGTAAACGTGCATGGAAATAATTTAAATATTTGACACTAAGTATTTGTAATGTTTGCGGTATGAATTCGTTGGTGATGTTTATAATATAATAGATAATTTAGAGGTAAAAGTTTTTGGATATTTTATTTATTTTTATACGCGGAAATGTTCATATTTGGAAAGGGTATATACGTTTCACGATCAGGTAATTTCATATATGTTCTTTTTACCGGGTTTAAAGTTTCAGAAAATTGTCATGTATTTTCGTGAAATTTTTCTAATTTATGAGAAAAAAGCAGTGTACATGGATATAGTGAAGAGTGTGTGCAATGCCATTTTTATGCAATTCTGGGATGTTTTTTTAAATAAAAATAAGTCGATGTGTACATGGTTTATGTGTATGTGTTATTCTGAAAAACGCACAAGGAGTTTGCTATTGTGCACTTTTTCCCAATTTTGCAGTGAATATTTGTCATGATTAAGTAGTTTTGTTAGATAAAATTTCTAGCATAAGTGTAATTCGGCTAGTAGATTGTTGGAAAAAGTGTTGAGTAAATAAAAAGAAAAGAAACATGTCTTTACTTCGTGAAGAAAAAATGGCGGCGGAAAAAAAAATAGAGGGTTGCTGTAACAGAGTTGGTCGCCAAATTTTCGCCAAAAAAATCGCCAAGTTACCATAATTCAAAGATCAACCCAAAATAACTTATGCAATTACATCTACTAATACTGGCCAGAAATTAAGATTTAGTCTCAACCCCAGAAAAATATAAACAAAGGGAAATTGCACTTTAATAGCCTGGACTAATTTTATGAAAGCATGTGCTAAATCATTGCAGAGATCTCCAAGTAATGGGCCAGACTTAACCATTGAAGTGAGTGAGAGCTTGTTCACAAAACAAAAAAATTCAGCTAATTTTTTTCCATAACATATATTTGGCATTTGAAAAGAAAAAAAAAAATTAATGGCTAATCTTTGGAATATGGTAACAGGTAGTTTAGCAACATTTTGGTAAGGCGATAAAAGTTACTATCTAGGACTTTAGTAGTGTACATGAATAAAGTCAAGAATGTGCGCAATGCCATTTTTGTGCAATTCTGGGATGTATTTTTAAGTGAAAATAGGTCGACGTGTACATGGATGATACCATGTATGTGCAATTCTTAAAAAGGCGGCAAGCAGTTTGCGATTCTGCACTTTCTCCCAATTTTGCACCTAATCTTTGTCATGATTAAGCATTGTTCCATAAAAGTTCTAGTATAAGCGTAATTCGGCTAGCAGATTGTTGGAAAAAATGTTGAGTAAAAAAAAAAAAAAAAAAAAACATGCCTTTACTTTGTGAAAACAAAATGGTGTCCAAAACAAAACTAGCAGGTTGCTGTAGCAGGGTTGGTTGCCAAATTTTCGCCAAGTTACCATAATCCAAAGATTAACCAAATTAATCAGCATATTTACCCTCGAGTCCATTTTATCCTTATAACTATTGCTATCCTAATTGTTCAAGTGAAATATCTGTAACATATTTAAATGCTTAGAAATTTGCAAAACAGATATACAAACTGCTAAATTTTCAAATTATAAATATATACCCTAAAAACTGGCCACTAACCAAATATGGCATTCTAGCTTCTTCATTTAATGAGGGTACCACATTTAGTGATTTAGCACATTTCCTGCTTCTAAGTATCATAAAATCCTTTTATACCTAGCTAATAAACAAGTGCAGCATAACCTTCAACCAAAACTGTACC